TGTCGACCGTTTCCCTTGCCGTTTGGCTTTGAGTACTTGCTGGGGTTGCCGCGGTCCTGATCGATGTCCATGTTCTGCATCATCGGGGACGAGAACTTCCAGAAGCTGGCCACCTGATCGAGGGCATCCTCCTGTTCCATAGTGCTGAAGAAAGGCAAGTTGGAGGAGCGGTAGACACTTTTGAGTGTGCAGCTTCGGCGTTTTCGTGTAAGACACACGACAGAATCGGCAAGGGCGTGAGAGCTGCACTTCTGAGGCTCTGTCAGCCAGGCCCTTGCTGGATGTGGTCCAGTCTTGTGTATGATCCTGTGCCATATGCCGCCTCCAGTCCTGCTGGTTCGTGACCGGATGACCACAAATGCAGCAATTTCTTTCTAAGAACCTAAGCAAAGGCTTGTCTGAGACGGCGGCCGGGCAGGTTGAGTCCTGCAGGAGGTGATGCACACGTTCCCTGGTGAAGTCAGAACATTGCGCCTGTATATGCTGTGCGCGCTCTAAGAATCCCGAGCGGGCCCAAGACGTTGCCAGGGCTACCTGAAAAATGACAGCGCACATAATGAGGTGCCGGTCTTTAGAGTGAACTTTTTGAGCACACAGTTCACAGTCGTGGCCCCTGGTGATGAGGTCCCGGTACTCCTCGCAATTTTTCTGGAAGACCTCCAGGTCGGAGTCCCAGATGACGGGATGCATGCGTTTGATGTGCTCTTTAACCGAGCCCTGCTTGGCGATCCATTGACCGCAGAAGCCACAGTGGGCAACCAGTCTTGGGGCCCAGTTTGAGAGAATCGTGAGAGGAACGGGTGTTTGGAGCAGTTGGTGGCGTGCTCCAGCAGTTCTAAACAGAGGTAATTCAATGTCGCCAGCAAGCTCTCTCGAGGGCGGGGGCTGTGTGGGGAGCGGGGCCGATTCCTCGGCGGCATCCGAATTGTCCCTCCTCTGCTGATTCTCCGTTGTATCAGGCTGTGCCGGACTGTCTACAGTAATGGCTGGTTGAGGCGCAACGCTCTGGTGCTGGCGTTCGTCAGGCCGACAGGCAAAGGTAAGAATGTGCTGCTTGAAGGCTCCCCAGGATTGAAACTGCTTTTGACAGTGTCTGCACTGAGGCATGCCGTTGACGCTATGCTCGTGTTGCTGGTATTGTTGCGTGTCCTCTTTGCTTGCAGCAACATAGATTTTATGCCTGAGGGCACGGTGTTGACGAAGTGACTTTGAGGAAGTGAAGTAAAGCCCACACTCNNGGGCAAGGAATGCCTTGGGGTGTGGTGCCGATGGGGATAAGAGTTTGGGAATTGAGTTGATCGGTGTGGTAGGCTTTGACATTTTTGTATATCTGCTGCCAGTACTCAAGTGCTTGGGGTGT